CATCACCGCTTTCAGTAAGTTAGCTTAGACTGGAGCTTTCCCTCCATGCATCGAGCTTTGTCCTTGTCTTTGGTTGCACTAGAAAGCCTTGTGGCCAATTTTTCCACATACATATAAAGGTCCTTTCGACTTTTGGATTTGGCCCTCCGATTTATTGAAGTAATTATCCCTTTTCACATATCCTTTCTTCTGGCCTTTATTCTGTTTACCTTTAAACCTGTCTTTAACAAAAGTACTAGCAGATTCCACAAGGTTATCTTTAGAAGAATTAAGAGAGAGAGATTTCGTCTTATCCTTAAGATGTTCTGCCTGTTAATCTTTAAGACGGTTTGCTTCCTCAGTCCTCATGTGACTGATCAGTTCTTGGAGAGTTAAGTTCTTCTTCTTGTGTATGAGTTGGTTCGTGTAATCAATCCAAGAAGGATGGAACTCTTCAAGCAGAACATTAGCTTGAAGAATCTCACACATCTCCATGCCTTCGTTCAGAACATCAGCAGTCAAGTTTTCATACTCGTGAACCTTCTCCATAATTGGCTTATCATCAATCATTTGGAATTTGACAAAATCATCAAGTTAGCGTTGGTCCCTGATTGATTATGTTTTGTTCGTTGAACACAACATAATCGACTTTTAATTATTTGAAGAAAATTAAAAGTTTCTCGGACCAACGCTTATAATTGTTTATATCCAAAGGCTCAAGCTTTGACAGGTCGGGACCGATTTTATTCAAAGTGGTAGCCATTGATCAATATTATATGTGAAATCTCTTTCAAATTGTTAGAAAAATAGTTCATAATATTGACCAAGAATATTAAAAGAATAAAAATAACTTATCAAATAAATATTATATTGTGGCAAGCAACTGCATTGAAAGAGATTTCGGTTCGACTGAGTGTAAATCATTAAGACCGGTCGCTCCTCAAGGTTCCACAGTATTCCCAAACACGTGCACTCGTGGCTAGAAGTTTGGAGTTTGCAAAAAAAAGAATTGCCCAGAAAAAATAGGAAGAAGAATAGTCTTTTGAGATGAAGAGAGAATAATATTTTTGATTGGTTATTTAGTTCACAAATGATGATGCTTATATAGGCAAAGCAGAAAAACGTATGGGAGTTAATGTCATATAACATTACTCTTGGCTTAATGACAAAATTGTCATAAAGACAGTAACTTCAAACTTTATGAAAAGCTAATATCTTTCACAAATGAAGTTACAAAAATGAAGAAACTGTCATATGAATAAATGTGAGCTATTTATGAAGTACTAACTTCATTCTCTCACTTTGCATATACATACAATCTAGAGATGTTACAAAATTAATGGTGGAGAGATATGAGAATTAACAACAGGTTAATTATGAATTAGAAGTGTTCTTTATTATTTGCATTATCAAATTAGAGTATAAGACAGAATAGGAATAATACCAATATGTTACTATGTAATCTCCTCTTGGTGTAAGTTTTGCGCAATCAATAAAATACAAAATCCTTAATATAAAATAAAATAAAATAATTAATTAATCCTGCAGGTTAGATGCCTGGTAAAGAACGAGCTGACGGGAAAGAGCTGAAAATCATAAAAAATATTTTCACCACAAGGAGGCAGATGACTGGGAAGATTTGCTTCTAGAATACCGACTACATGGGAAGATTTGATTCTAATACTTTTTATTGCCCGCTCTATTCCGAGTAATAAAGGAAGGGCTTGTAGAATCCCTCTAATTGGAAGGAAAAGGAGGGCTTCGATCCATTGTGATCAGATACGAATCTAAAATAAAAATGAAGGTAACAATACTCTAGTTTGTAGTGTTTCAAATTATTCATAATATGGTAATTAAGATCTAATCAGGAAAACTTTTAAGTTCTGATTATTGGATCGCAATCTTATTTATGAGATGTCATCATGGAACCAGCATAGAAGTCGCAGTACTGGGGTTTTATTACTCAAAATCTGTAATTCATTTGATCAGATTTGTTATATTTTCTAAATAATACTTTTTATTTGTGTCACAAAACATGGAATTAAGTGATTTAAATTAGCTGCATATATTACTCTTATACAGTAAGATAGACCGATAAGTGGAATTTTCTTTACTATTTCCGCATTAAAGTTTTCCCCAACACTTAAAAAAATTTAACTATCGCATAACGATTTTTTCGCAAAATAAAAGTGTAAACAAAATAGAAACATGGAAAGTTCAAGTTGAGTGATTTTGGCATCACTCTCTTTTACTATAAGATACATTTAAGAGGTGTGAAAAACTTGGCCTAATTATCAGTAACTTCCTTTTGACTCAAAGAAGATATAATACATGAAATTATGAGTCAAACGGAGTCACAACTCTTCTCTAATTTTTTTCAAGTTAATAATAGCTATGTAGTTTGCTAAAACGAGAAAGGGAAAAAAGTTTATTAGTAAAACGAATCACATGAAGAAATGTTTACCACTTTAGATGTTCTTAAAATATTAAAAGAGAGGAGACAAGAATATTCTAGCCAGGGATAGTCAAACTCATCCAGTTTACAGTAAATTTAATGAGAAAAAATTAACACCAATTAATATTTACTAAGCTAGAAATAATTAACTCCAGATTACATTTCATTGAACTAAAAATGACTAACTCCAATATTTTATAAGTTGGATAAATAAACTTTTACCCCTAGCACACATAATGGAACCGTAAATGGTCAAGTGAAATCCAATAGACGTAATAATTTGATCTAATAATAACAAATAAGACGAATAAATGAGTTCTTTTTATTCTGTATCTTCACGTAACTCAATAGCTATAGCCTATTTGGCCAAGCTTTTCCCCGTTGAAAAGCACTTTTATTCCAGAAAAAAAGCGTTTTTTTCAAAGTTGAAGTGTTTGGCCAAGATTTTAGAAGAAAAAAAGGGCTTTTGAGGAGAAGCAGAAAAAAATTACCTCTTCCTTAAATCACTTTTTTGAAAAGCACTTTTGAGAAAAATATACTTAGAAGCACTTTTTAAAAGTTTGGCCAAACATTAATTGCTGCTTAAAAATACTTTTTAAATTAATTAGCCAAACACAAACTGTTTTTCATTAAAAGTACTTTTGAAAAAAATCACTTTTGGGAAAAAAACTTTTCTCAAAATAAGTTACTTCCTCCGTTCCAATTTATGTGAACCTATGCTTTTTGGTCCGTTTCAAAAAGAATGACCCCTTTTTAAATTTAGAAAAAACTTAGCTTAAACTTACAATTCTACCCTTAATGAGAAGCTTTTATAACCACACGAATACTCTGGACCCATTTTTAACTTGTTTAGGACCGCAAATTTCAAAAGTTTTTATTTTTTCTTAAACTTCGTGCACAGTCAAACATGTTCACATAAATTGGAACGGAGAGAGTAAATTTTTCCAGCTTGGCCAAGGCTACTAGAGATTGACCTATTTCATACTTCTTCAAATAGCAAATACGCAAAAAACAAGGAAAACAATGACAAAACTTTCCATTTGCATCCTAGAATCAAGGGAATTAATGTCTTCTGAAATAGGAATGAACTCATTTTCCTTTAATTTAGGAACTGGGCCCAAATTTATGCCCGTCGGCGAGAGGTTGTCAGAGGAGTTAATAGTTTTTAGGTCTTGAGAAGATGAAACATTAGAGGTATCAATTATTCTTAGGTCTTGAGAAGAGGAAACATTAAAGGGGTCATGTTTTTTAGCTTTATAAAATAATTTTTGAGTCTTGCGCATCGAAAATCTTTACATCTATACTTGTTTTTGGATCCGAAGGAGTGCCTAGATGTTGTTCTTTTTGCCTGCTTTGGTTCTTTTTTCTAGGGAAGGTGACATTGTGCCATTTATTCTCCGTCGGGCTGGATCATCCAGAGGCAATTCTACATAAAGTCTCGCGTATCGACCCCTTAGTGTGGCACTGGTACATGCAGCAATTTTAAGAAGTTTTCCAATAGAGTTAATAATTTTTCGTAGGATTACGCCATCGTAGAACTTAGTAGGTAATTGCGGAAGGCGTACCCAAACAGTCGTATGCACTTGTTTTGCTTTTCCTGCTACAGAATTTGGTTCCTATTATTTAACGGATAGGAAGTAACCATTAATGAACCATGGGCCATTTTGAAAGACTTGTGTCATATTTTCTTCTTTGGTGAATTTGATAACAAAATAGTCGTGACCCGATTAAAGGGATGGGTTTTGTGGGTTTCCAAAGTTGGGTAATTTTTTCTTTTAGATATTAGTGTAGGATGTGTTTGCCAATAAGCTTAATTATTAGCGAGTATCTCCATGGGGAGTACATACGATTTCGATCTTCCTCCGTTAATTAGATTTCTTTGATGCCTTTGGTATTACTGGTTGTGTAGGTAACATGGTTGTTGCTTCTACGGTACCACTTCAAACGGAGTGTAGAGTCAAATAGAAAACAACTTAATTTTCTAATCATTCTTGGCAACAAAAATGATTAATAATAGTGGAAAGTGTCGCCTAATAAAAGTTAGCAAAAATTAGAGTACACAATTTCATAAATACTCATAGGAAGTAACAAAGGGGAAAAAAAAATTACCTAGTAAATCTGCAGATTTGTAGTCATCATTTATATTTTACTAGGATCCAAATTAATTAACCAACTTCATTGTGCATTTATCCTAGTAGGAATTGAAAACGCTTAGGTGGTGATAAGAAATTCATTTCAATTTTCACATTTTGTAGCCATTATTTACTCTTTAATAGGATCCCAAATTAATTAACCAACTTTTTGTGCATAAACAGATAGACTACACTAAATGCTAGTAGGTAGATAGATACATGGAACTTCATGCCACTTCCAATTTAATTGATTTATTTATCATTTATTGAATGGTAAATTTATTATTTGCTACAAAAATATTATACGAGTATGAGAGGAAAAAATGCCGTTCAATTTTTTATGGGCATTTTAGTAAATTTACGTTAAAACATAGGGTCTATGATTAGTTTCTTAAAAGGAGTCTTAGCTGTTTTTTTTTTTTTTGCGTGTAAAATAACACCTTGTCATAGTTTCCAAAACGGGATCAAGATTCTGTAGTTCAGAATACGCTGTTTCTTCTTCTTAAATACGCTGTTTCTTCTTCTTATATGTTCTTCCTAGTTCTGTTTCATTCTCAATCAAGAAAGTTTTTTGTGTCATTCTCACTCATTCTAGAAAGTTTTTTGTGTCATTGTTTTCAAAGTCTTCAAGAAAGAACGGAACCCATGGAGAAGAATCCTCAATTTCGTCCCTCTGACACTGATCTGATAATGCAATTGTTGAAATTTGTGGCTGGAAAATGCTTACCAACTGAAGGATTGATTGTCTTTGCAGATGTTTACAGCATAGAGCCATGGCAATTAATTGGAGACATGAGTTCCAAGAAAACCCATTACTTTCTCACCCAATTGAAGAAGAAGAAGCCCACTGATGCCCGATTCAACAGAACTACTTGTAACGGGACTTGGACACAGCAGAATAAAGGAAAGAAAATTCTTGATGAAGATGAGAGTCTGATTATTGGGTATAAAAGAAGCTTGACTTACAAACACAAGAAAGACTCCTCTTTCAATGGCCGCTGGTTGATGATGGAGTATTTCTTGGCTGACTCTCTTCTTCAAGAGTTGAAATCTAACGAAGCAGAAGAGTTTGTAATCTGTGCAATTAAGAAGAACCCCAGATCAGAAATCAGAGGAAACAGTGTTGCTTCTGTTGTAGAGTATAAGAGGTTCATTGATCGTTTCTTGCAAGAACAGAGTACGATGATACTATCCGACAACAGTCCAGTGAGGTTGGAGAGTACCTCATCTGATGTTTTCTCTATGGGACAACTACAATCAAAAGATGGAGTGTTGGTTATTATAAATCAGACTGATTCTGATGAATTCTTTGGAATGGTGAACGTGGAAAATCAAGAATGCTATTATCAGGAAGGTGATGAGGAGGAAGTTGATTGGGAATCTATATTGGATTTTGGGGATCATGGTTCAGTGCAGAATGACTTGCTTTACTAATTCTGGAAAATTGGAGCTTGAATGAGTTTTTGAAAAGGGTAATTTTTGTTTTGGAGTTTTTTTAAGAACCAAGATCTTTTTTTCTTTCTTTCTAAATTAGGATACTTTTGATTGGGATTTCTGTGAAATCTTAGGTATTTAGGAGCATGATTCTAACATTAACTTATGTTAGGAGTATAAACTAGAGTATTTAGATTATGTTGGTGTCAAGGGATACCAACGAATTTTTTCATCATCGATTTTGTGCAATGTAGATGGTGTTGTCATTTTCTCAAATGTAGATGATCTTGTTGTTTATAATGAAAAGCTTCATTGTGAAAGGTGTACTCTGCTTTTGCCCAGTTGTTGATGTTCAGTTTCTTTGAACTATTTGTCATTTTATCTTGATTTTATGTTTTGGGCTTTTCTTGTTTAAAGAATTTTGTCGTTTGCTATATTTTGTGTTGTGTATAGGATCGGTCTGCAAATGATCTATCTATCAAACTGCTAAAAGTGTAGTTTTCCAAGAAATCACAGCTTATATATTCCATTAAAAGATCTATCTATCAAACTGCTAAAGCTTGCATTATTTCATGTTACTTTTCTGCTTTACTCACATAGAACCAACGGCAATTTACTTTGATGATTCAGAGAGTTATTGCGAAGGCACCATTGCCATCACTCCAGGTAATTTACCTTTTGTTTCTTTTTGTAGTATTAATTTCAGTACTCTTCAATACCATTGAGATTTTTACATCAGCTATCTTTCTACAGGGTTATGCTATTATTTCAACCAAAGACTCACACATCAAAGACAAAATAACACATTCTTTTTGACATCTTTCAGAAATCCTGTACAGCTTTCCCAGCGGAGCAAGCTACTGAACATTGGAAACAAATGATGTATCATGCTTGTGAAAGAAATAACCAAAAGAGAAAGATTAAATGCACTCGCGGTATGCGCATAGAGTTTTATTCATAATCTCAATGATCTTGTAACTCAAAAGGCTTAGACATAGAAGAGAATTCTGTTTTCTTGTTTTATTTTTAATTCCTTCGGATATGTGGACAAATTTAATGACGCTGGATTTGTATGTAATGATATGGTATTATGCAAAAACAACAGCTAATACGAGAAGTTGAAATAATTTAATGCCTGAATAAAAGTTCCATTTGTAGCAATGAGTGTAAGAGGCTTGAAGAAGAGTCTTAGGGGAGTGAAAACAGAATGTGCTGATTGACTATTGATGTTAAGCCAATGCAATTTTTGGCCTCTGAAAGTAATACTTCATCAAGTTCACACTCCATGAACAATCGAGTTCAACATTAACTCAGTTTTGCATGTTGTGTTGCCTAAATAAATGGCTAAAATATGGAATGTTTTCTCTTGTACACTTCATTTATACACCCTATTTAACCTTACGTTGCCTCGCTGGTTGCTGATTGCTGCTTATACTATTTCAGCTTCCTTTACTCTTCCCTAAGACTCTCCTGAGCAACAATTTTCTGAAGTCATATTTACTCCAACTAGCTCATTAGTCATATCTCATGGACTCTCACTCCCTCCTAATCCAACGCCAGATTGCCAGTCTCTATATCCTTACTTATTAGACCACTTTCTCCAACTTCTAGCCTTATATTTATAAACAAATTCATCTTCTTTTTCTATAGAGACCTAGCCTAGGTACCAGAAAGAGAATAACTTACAACCTGGAAAATGCAAATGCACAAAAGTGATGTGGAAGTCTTAGCGTTTTAAAGTGGAGGAGAAGATAGATTTGCGATTCAGAAAAAGTATGTTGGTTTTTTTTCTTTCTATATGGAGACTGTATCCGATTATTGACTTGAAAATCATCTTTTAGGTATTAATTAATGTTTCTCGGAGGGCTTACAATATGCATTTTTTGTTTCCCTTTTTTGTTGTTATCTGTGGGACTTGAATGGTTAGCATTAAATGTTTCATTGTCTGTTTCTTTAGTAGCAGATCCATGATAGGTACTTATGACAGTAAAGAGTGTCTGTCAACTGTTTGATGAGACTCTTTTAGTTTAGTAGCATAACAATTTTTAATTTACAGAAATCAGTGTCTCTTAAGGAATGGCTACATTCCATTCGTCGTCTAATAACTGATAATGAATCTAGCATACAAGAAGAGTGTGAGAACCCAAACTTTTGATTGGTATATCTGTGAACTCTTAGGGATTCTGATATTGACTTATATTAATATTAGGAGTATAAACTAGGGTATTTAGATTATGTTGGTGTCAAGGAATACCAACAAAATCGATTTTGTGCAATGTAGATGATGTTGTCATTTTCTTAAAGTCTCTATGACTCTTAGATTTCGTTCTTATTGTTTATAATGGAAAAGTTCAATTATGAAAGATGCTCTACTTTGCTTTTGTCCGTTTGTTGATGTCCTGTTTCTTTGATTTGTTTGGCATTTTCTCTTGATGTTCTCTTTTGGCCTTTAAAGAATATTCTTGTTCACTATTTTTGTTGTTATGTGTAGGATGCTTATGATCTGTCATATCAAACTGCTAAAACTTTAGTTTCACAGCTTAGTACACTACAAGATGTATCTAAAACTGAAACTATTGCTTTGCACTATTTCATGTTAGTATGCTACTATTGCAGTTCACTCCCATAGAAACGACTGCAATTTACTTTCATGATCGGAGTATTGTTGCAGATGCACCATTCTCTTCACTCTAGTTAGTTTCCTTCTTTCTCCTTCCTTTGCCGTATTAATTTCTATAACTTATTTTTGAGAAAAAAACACCAAGTCATCAGGCCTGCTGCATATGTATTTGGATAATGATGAACGATCATAAAGGTAGATAGCAGGTGAAAACAAGATCTTGTAATTACAAGCAGTGTTTTAAAAGTCGTGGGCGTAATGCGAGGCGTTTTACATATGCCTCAGCGAGGCGTAAGCCCCATAGGTATTTAATTTATAATATTTTATAAAATAATATAATTACAGTAAATATTTATAAACAGGTAAAATTGCATAAA